TGGAATGTACTGTAGTTTTGGTTTTCATTGCCTAAATCATGCAGAGCACAGGCCCCATTTTCTTGCTGCTAGGTACTTCTTCTTTCGTCAGTACTGTAGTGTGCCTCAGTGACTACTGGTGTCATTGTCTGCAGTGCAGTGTACTTTGTTGGCATATCTGATTCTGCCATTGTTTGGAGCTTGTCCATGGTTCAATGGACATTATATTGTCCCATTTCTTTAGTAGAAAATTCTGTAGAACTGTTAGGGTAGAGAGGTGATCAGAAGAAGAAAGCCGCCCGTTTTTCATATGTAGCCTTGCGAGATGTGTAAAAGAAAGGCTCAAAGGCAAGTAGTAGCAGTATGACGATAGGATGAGCTGAGGTGACAGGAAGATGGACATGTGGATCTCAGAGAGAAAAGGTTAGCCCTTGTTTAGTTGAAGAAATTTAGATTTTGGGGCTACTGTAGTACGTTCGTTTTTATTCGGTAAATAGTGTTCAAACATGGACTAATTAGGCTCAAAACGTTCGTCTCGCAATTTCCCACCAAACTGTGCAATTAGTTTTTCTTTTCGTCTATATTTAATGATCCATGTACGGACCACAAACATTCGATGTGACAGGTACTGTAGCAACTTTTTGGAAGTTAGGGTGGAACTAAACAAAGGCTTAGTGGCGATTGGTGAAGCCAACTTCGATCAGAATTGGGGGAGCAAGGTAAAGCTGCTGATGGTTCATCACATGACATCCACGTCGCATGCAGGCTGAGGGGAAGGGAGGCCCCAAAATGAAATGACAGGCGCTGGGCACGCGCAGCATTCCAAAGAGGCAACCATCGTTTGCGGCCTTGAAAGGTTTCATTTCATTTCGGGGCCTGCTTGTCCCCTTCCGCTCCCTCCCTGGGGCTCACCACGGCCACAGTGCTTGCCGGCCAGTTTCGCCACTGTTCACAATGCTCGTGCTCTGGGTTTTGTTTGTCTCGGTTTTAGGTGGTGTTTGGATTCAGTGACTAAAATTTAGAAGGTGTGTCGGAGGATGTTGTATAGGGTATTTGGATACTAATAAAAAATAAATTACATAATCCGTCAGTACTCCACGAGACGAATTTTTTAAACATAACTAACCAGTCATTAGCAAATGCTTACTGTAACACAACATTGTCAAATCATGGACTAATTAGGCTTAAAAGATTCGTCTCGTAAATTAGTCACAAACTATGTAATTAGTTTCGTAATTAAACTATGTAATTAGTTTCGTAATTAGTCTATATTTAATACTCTATACGTGTGTCAAACATTCGATGAACAACGACTAAAATTTAGGGCACCCATCCAAACACCCTTTATTTCAGGTCGTTTTCCCTCTGCAGTACCAGTGTACCACAACCACGCGCGATGTGATCTTCCATTCAGTACCTGCAGCTGCAGGTCACTCCAAATGCAGTACAACTAGTGCAGATTGTACAAGTACAGAATCCCATGTATTTTGTTTTCTGACTACAGCAGGATCATTGTCTTGCACAGCAATGAAGAGATGGAAATGCTCCTAACCTGGCAAGTTTTTTTTTTTCAAAGACCATCTCGCAAGCTTTTGGAATGTGAAGATATAACGATAAACAAGTCAGAAATGTCTCTGCTCCAGTTTCCAATGCTGGACAATTGATTAACGCGTACTAATTAGTCCAGAGGATGAACAAAACCGGTTTCCAATGCTGGACAGATTAACGATACTAGAGAGGATTATTATAAAACAATGAGGAGAGAAAGAGCTGCATTAGTGGTCGTCGTGGGGCCAATAGACATGCACCGAAAATATAAGCACCTGGGGTACGTACCAGGCCTACCCTAGCCTTTCCATTTCACTATTTTTTGCCACCTCCTATACATACAAGGAGGGTTTGATGTGACACCGGGGCAAACAAACACGTAAAAACTACAAGGAGATCCAGCAGCCCAAAGCTCAAAAAAGTTAGAAGGATATCCAACCAGGTAGCGTGCTGGAGTACTGCCTATAGGTGTTTCTGAAACTAGTGACAACCCTACCTAGTGAATCCAGAGAAATCCACGTACTTCTCTACTGAGAAAGGAAACCGTAGGGGGCTTATTTACATTCTTTTTTCTTGAGATAGTAGGTCCAGTTCATTGGTATCACAAATTAAACTTTGATCATTCATTATTTATGTTTGTTTATGATTATAAACTTATGATCATCGGATAGTACATTTGATTACAAATCTAAGTTATCAAATTTATATTACAATAGTTAAAATTTATTGGATAAATTATTAGTCAAACATCATGAAGTCTGAATTTTGATATGCGTGTGTACCTTATAAAGTGGACTAGAGGGAGTATTAAGAACTGCTAATGTTGTACGCAAAATTTTAAAAGTTCCTGACTAATTTAGCTTTGTAATTATATATGGGTGTAATTTACTGGTTTGAGATTTGTTATTATGGGTGTAAACTTATTGAATTGAAAAACTGATGTGCTAGCTTGACATTAAACGCATCATCAGTAGTTCCTACGTAGCTTATCAGGAAGAGGTTGGTTGCTGAGCTGCTATTGGCGATACATGTTAATTGTAGTGGTTAGATACTGAACTGTAAAATGCAGGTCTAGCACCCTAGTAGCATAGGGCAGTTCAAATGTCCTACTGACTAGATGAAGTTTGTATTCTTTGCCCTAAAAAAAGAGCTCTAAAAAAGTTATTGTATTCTTGTCATATAATAAATGTGAACTGTATTTTTTTTGTTCGAAAATAGGATGCAAAGATAGGTCTATTTTCTCATAAAAATATAACCTTTCGCTCTTGTTTTGATGTAAATTAGAGCCATAATGACTAAGAACAAACAACAAGAGGTAGGGTATATGTAGTTGTAGTTGCATCTCAATGCAAGCTCCATCATGAGAGCATGCACACACTGCTCTGACTTTTGATGAGCTAGTTGTGGTTTCTGTGATTCTTTCCATTCGTGATTCGTTTGTCAGAAATGAGAATCATTCAGAGCATAAGTGACCAGGTCCACAGGTCCACCGTATTGGAACAGATAAAGGAAGAGGACAACAGAAGGCTGAGGCCAGCATTCCTTTCCATCTGTCTTTGTTACTAATTACTTGGGCCTATGAATCTAGGATGCAGTAGACTGATGTTTAGGGGGTGTTTGGTTCACCTAGCAGCTCCTAAATTTAGTAGCTTTAGTCTCTTTTAGTAACTTTTTTACCAAACACTTTGACTAAATATGACTAAATAACATTTAACCAACTAGTCACCCAAAACTTACTAAAAGGACTAAAAGCCCACCTGGACAGGTGGTGCCCCTCATAATTGCCCTGTCCCGAGCGCCAACCCTATCCCGCGGTTGGGCTTCGCCCCTGCGCTCGCTGCTGCCCGCCCAGCAGCTCGCCGCACCACCCACTCAACCGCTCGCCGCACCACCCGCCCAGCCGCTTGCCCCACCCGCTCGAGACCGGGGCTCCAGGCACGCACGCACGACGGAGCCCTTGGCGCCGCCACCGCCCGTGGCCGGTGCTCACCATGCCGGCTGCACGTGCTGGGGATAGGATGGCGCCGGATCTTGCCGGAGCTTACCGGGCCGGCCGTGCGCGCTAGGGACGGGGCTCACCGGATCTCGCGCGTCGAGCTCATCTTGATCGGATCTCGCTGGAGCTCACTGGCAGGCAGGCACTTCTTCCTCCCCTTCTCCGTCGGCCAGTTCTCCTTCCTCCCCTTCTCCACCGGCCGATGGTCCTTCCTCCCCTTCCCCGCCGGCCAAATGCCAGGGGCAGGAACTTAGGGGCGTTTTGGTCATCCTAAACATGCACATGTCAAGTTTAGTCACAATTAGTCCACCAAACCAAACGCTGCCTGACTAAAATTTAGGAGGTAGTTACTAAATTTAGGAGCTGGAACCAAACAGGCCCTTACAATGCCATCAATAATGCCAGGATATGCTAGTTGAGGAATCCACATAATTACGTAATGATAAGCATAGGCCAACAGGCCAGGACCAGGCATCTAATAAGAAATTAGCATAGGTCATCAGGCTAATTTGGTTGAGCAAACTCTTCCCAGTGGCTAGTGGAAGGCAAAAAGCCTGATTAGCTAGGATAAAACTACAGGCGTCAGTGCTAATCGCCCTTTAATTTTGAACATTCTGTGAAGCAGAGGCAGCAGAGTTTCAGAAGTTCTGCTGCCCTGTTCCAGTCCTTCATAGGTGCAACTGCTATACTATAGAAACGGTACATCTTAAGCTATACTAAATTCAGTTTTCTTATAAACACATATTTTAAGCTACAAATTGGCAGGCCTTTGCTAGATTTGTTTTTCTCGGTGGTTGGACTTACATGCCTACAGAAAATCAAAAACAATATGCATGTATAGTTTCCTGATAATCAAATCAAAGGGAGATGTGACACCGGAACTAGTTCTTTCCCATCACTCATAATTGTTTGCTTTTCCCCAGTCCCGCAAAAAATAAAAACAAAAGAAAATATCAAAGGGTCGAGCGAGCAGCGACAACTCCACGTCTGGAGCCAGGTGATGTACGAGTGCATGTACTACACGGTACACTGAACTTTTTTAAATAAAAAAACGCATTTATTTTATTTATCCCCAAATTATGAACTGGACTGTGCTCGCTGGTCTCGCAGCAGCCGAGCCCAACTGCACACAAAAGAAATGGGTGCATGAGCAGGCACAGAAAAACGAAACAAAAAAAGTAGTATTAGACCAAACCCAATGCAAAACCCCTAAGCAAAAGATTAGCAATGATTGGCGTCTCCAGCCCACATTGTCGTTCGTCCCTTGCACAAGTACTAGTACTGCTGCTAGGCTTGTTGTAGGGGTGCCCCATGCAGGGAGGGTGCATGTCACCATAAAATTTAGCGGCAAGGAGCGAGGGCGATTGGAAGCTCAAAATAATGGAGCCGGTTGCCCACCGGGGAGACACGCCGGATTTGTTTAATCCCCTGGCCCTAATCCCCCACCCCTGCCGTCTCCTTCTCCTTCTTATAAGCAATGGCGGAGGGTCTTGCATTGCACCCCCCATCCTCACCGCGCCGATCACTGCAGTCGGCACGAACGAAGGAAGAGATCGCCACCGATCGATCCAGCTCGAGCGAGCGATCACGTGCAGCACGGACAGCAGTGTGCTTGGCGGAGATCGAGATGACGGGGTTCGGATCACCGTGCGGGGCGTGCAAGTTCCTGCGGCGCAAGTGCGTGCGCGGCTGCGTCTTCGCGCCCTACTTCTGCCATGAGCAGGGCGCGGCGCACTTCGCCGCCATCCACAAGGTGTTCGGCGCCAGCAACGTGTCCAAGCTGCTCGCGCACCTGCCGCTCGCCGATCGCCCGGAGGCCGCCGTCACCATCTCCTACGAGGCGCAGGCGAGGCTGCGCGACCCCATCTACGGCTGTGTCGCCCACATCTTCGCGCTCCAGCAGCAGGTGCGCGTGCGCGACTGCCCGGCCGCCGCCGCGGTCGCCGTCGTCTCTGCCTTGTCTCTTGTGATATGATAGGGTTTAATCGCTGACCCGTGCCGTCGTGCGTCCAATCGATCCAGGTGATGACCTTGCAGGCGCAGCTGGCGTCGCTCAAGGCGCAGGCGGCGCAGGGGCAGCCGGGCGTGCACGAGGACGCCAAGGGCTACGTGGGCAGCGCCGCCGCGGAGCAGCTAGGGTACGGCTACCCCTGGTGCGTCTCTGGCGGCGCCGTGGGTGCGCCCGCCGCGCAGCCGGGCGCGTACGGCAATGGCGGGCACGAGTCCCTGACCGCGCTGCTGGGGTCAGACTACATGCAGCAGTCGCTGTACCACGAGTTCGAGCACGCCGGCGCGGACGACGACGACGGCCGGCAGGGGAACGCCTTCGAGGCAGCGGCGGAGTCCTCGTCGTTCGGGGCGGAGGAGAGCGGCGGCTGGAGGTCGTCGTCGGGGTACCAAGACTGCGAGGACCTGCAGAGCGTGGCTTACGCTTACCTGAACCATCGCTCGTAAGAACTGAGAACTACTAGTGCAGAAAATATATCACAAGAGAGAGAGATATAGATATATATATATATATATATATATCTGTCCTCAATTCCTGATCTGATCATGTTTTAGACTTGAGCTTGGGAAAATATATGTGCGATTTTCGATCGATCTGTAGATCGGTCTCCGCTAGAAATAATTCAGAAGCATGCATGTGAGAAGAGTCCATTGATCTATATATATATATATATATATATATATATATATATATATATATATATATATATATATATATATATATATATATATATATATATATATATATATATATATATATATATATATATATATATATATATATATATAGATCCACATATATTGATCAGTGTAGAAACATAACCTAGTTAATTGGACAAAAAAAGAAGAAGAATTCTTGCTATGATTAAGCTGCTAGTTCTGTCAGTTTGGAGTTGTGTTTTCTTCTCCACTTCTATTTCTACCTGCAGCGCAGCAGTATCTGCAGATAAGATTAGATTTGTCATGCCGGCCAAAAAATGTACTCCAAGGAATATAGATGCCAGCATATTGAGAGACAGCTGATTGATTCATGGCCACACGTGGAAGATCCAATTAGCTTACTATTTTCGTTGACTCCTTTTACTGGAACTCTTGCTGATGGGACATGCACACATCTTCTACATACCTACTAGTAGATGAAATGATAGAGCCTTTTGTCTTGTAGAGAGAATCCTACTATAGTAATTGATAACTATCCTATATCTGGATTTATTACCCTACCTACTTACTTGATTCAAATAACTTAATTTTAACACATTCAGTTAACGCACTTGTAGGATATACTAAATCATGATCGATTCATCTTTAAAAGGGGACAATTATGGTTACTCGTCATAATTAGTGTTGTGTCTAATAATTTGTCTACATTATTTTCAGGACTACGTTTGATAAGAACCTTTTCTGATGTTCTCTTTATTTGTACACAAAATTTTGGTTAGAAGTTTCCATTATGTAGAGGCGTTACTCGTTATATATATAGGATGGAACAAAATTCCGGTAGTGATGTACAGCAGGATGGAACAAGCAACTCATAGTTATATATAGGAGATAGATAGAATATGGGTCTCAACATGCGTGTGTAAATATATATGTAGCAGGTCAAATGATATCGGTGCATATATACAAACATATAATTAGCTAGGGTAAGGATTATCTATGAATACACCTGAATGGATTGAGCATAACTTATAAGGGTGAACCACCCTCCATAAAATGTACTAGTTGCATGCTTGCATTAGGATATATTGATTAAGAAGCTTAGGGGCCTGTTTGGTTGCTGCCCAGATAGACAAATGCCTTCCAGACAAGGCCACAAGCACTCAAAATCAAGGGCTTGTATAGTGTTTGCCCAGACTTACTTGTGACCATCTTGTACTTTCATGTGGTGTCACGCAAATCATATATGCCCCACCTGAAATAGTACATAAAAGCTCCCGATGAATCAAATATACCCTGCGGAGGATGTCCTAGCTTTTATTCTATTTCTAAAAAAATCACACCTGAGTAAGAAGAATACCCACTATATTTTGGTACCTTGCAGTTTTAATCATAGAAGAAAAACGATAAATCAATGTATAGCGACTCTACATTTTCCACAGATTAATTGATGGGATGTTTGATAATTTCCAGTGCATTATTTGTAAAAACATTCCATGATTTGTGGAATAGCTCCAAAACTAATTCTTTTAAGATTTTTTATATCATCCCAGGAATTGAAGCTAGCATAATATGGGCCTTAGTCATTACTCACTTAAACATAAACATAATTCATTTTACTTCTTGAGGAATGCCTGTAGTATTGTATATAATATATGACTCAAAGACCACTGATAGAGTACTGACTTATTAAGTTGAAGGGTGAATAATCTCAAAGTGTATTTTCCGTTTGGCGGTTTAAATTAAAATCAGAAACAGTTCAACTAAAGTGGCAGAAAGTTGTTTCTAGAAATACTAAATAGGTTTATATATATTGCACAAAGTGTATTTTGTAAACTGATACATGATTCACATATTGTGGAATTAACACTATATATACAACATGGAAAGCAAAAATACAAGAAAAAGCTAAGGACGATGTCACTTTGCATCCTAATCAATAGCACATACATATCAAAGGAAACTTAATACCATATCATACCATCCAGGAGATGAAATTAAAGCATCAATCATTGCTGTCTTTACAGTGAAGAAGGACACAAACTTTTCTCATATATGCTTCCTCTTCTCAATATATTTTATATACAGGTTAACAAAATCTATCTAATATATGACATAATGAAAAGCGCTACATGTATCTGTCATGTCTAGGAAAATGAATGCCCTCTCATTGTACATAATTATTGATTCTTAGGAAAACCTGAACATCTATCTATAAATACCAGACGATGGACATATCTAGATTCCTGACCCGACCGAATGCAAGTTAACTTGACAGCCATGTATAGTCTTGAAGCGACTTGGCTGTTGGAGTGATCGACTGGGATAGGACGAGTATATCACCATATCTTCAAAGAAGGGCATATACAGAAAAACTACATGCAGTAGCGCTGAATTTGAATCTTGAAAACGGTCTAATGTAAAAATGTATACGGATGATGTCGTTCCAATAGGATCTGAATGTTTCCTTGAGAAATATTGTGAGCATGTTTGTGAAACGCGCGCGATGCAATGCAAACTGAGATGAAGTGAAAACGTCCTAGATATTATTCATCTTCGTCTCTGTTGCAAATATATATATGGTTTTATGATTTTGCAAATGGAAACACAAATATTCCGTTCGTTTGTTTGTTTATCTCTGGAAGGAATTTTGATGCATTGTGCAGTGCAGATTGAACCTACTTTAATTAGCAGTTCAGCAGCAGCGCGAGAGCCCGCCCTATTTAGACATTAGAGTGCTCTGAAGTTCAAGGACAGCTAGTGCGCGAGAGCCCGCCCTAATTAGCCGGGTAAAGTCTCAAGTTTATTTTCAAACTTCAGTTTTTGGTAGGAATCGGTGAGCCTTTTTGAAACTATGAACTGTCCTGAAATTAAAAATATCTTATTTTAACGAATGCGGTAAAATATATAAATCCGTGAGTTGGAAACATGCCCAAGGCTTTAAACATGACATGACTGAAGCCGGTCACAGAGGCCCATAAGCAGATCAAGCGCCGGCCCGACCATGCACGCACTGACGCACAGCTAGGGCCAGGGCTAGGTCATGTCATGCACTCTCATGCCCAGTCCACCGCATGCATATTCTGAATCAATCAAACAAAGCGAGCTCGATTCTACATGCATTCACGAACCGGACATCGGAGGCAGTCCAATCGCACTCCCTTCTTCTCTCTAGCCTACCAAAGGGAACAGTCTCTCTTTCTCTCTTTTGCCATTGTCAATTGACGCTTGAGTGCTTTTGACTGCTCCAAAAAGCTTCCAATTCTACTTCTACCTTATTTCATTTCCCTGTCGCCGCCTGTTCTATCTCCCCCACATGTATGCATCAAAGCTTTCATATCTTACCCTCGGTCCTATTATTGCCCTAACTAATTAAATCCATTTAGGCTTTAGGCAATATGAAGAAATTATCCTAGCTCGATTTCTGATTTGTGCTTCCGTTTATATTAACCACATGATGAGCTGCACATTTGATTTACATCTGAAACAGGCAAGAAGCTAGTACAGTCTCGCACCAAAGCATCAAAAGGCTCCGATCCCCAAACCGAAGCTGAACTGAACAAAACGCACTGCAAATCAACAAGAAAGCATGAGGGCCTCGGTTGTTTAATTTCTCTCGCGGTAGTCGTCTCTGTTGGCGGTGGCGCTAGCTGTTTGATGCGCGCCAACGATTCATCTCGTGTAGCTGCCTTCCTCCTGGTCACCGAAGCCGCAGTACATGTCGCTGTAGCACCCGGAGCTCTGCGTCGACAGCGATTCGGGCTCCAGCGGCCACCGCTGCAGGAGAGGGCTGCTGCCCGTCGTCCCCTGCGGCCCGGCGGCCGCCGCCATCGTCTGCACCACCTGCGCCTTCGCCTGCAGCACCTGCATCTGCAAGCTCGCCACCTGCACATATATAATACATCATCGGTGTCACGCGGCCGGAGAGACATAAGCTAGCTAGTACGACTGGTGGTAATCTCATGCACACGCAGGATCAGAGAGGGCATGCATGCATGTACCTGCTGCTGCAGCGCGAAGATGTGGGCGACGCAGCCATAGATGGGGTCGCGCAGCCTGGCCTGCGCCTCGTAGGTGATGGTGGCCGCCGCCTCGCTCCGGTCGGCGGGGGCCACCTGCTGCAGCAGCTTGGCCGCGTTGCTGGCGCCGAACACCTTGTGGATGGCCGCGAACTGCGACGCCCCGTCCTCGGCGCAGAAGTGGGGAGCGAACACGCACTCCGCCGAGCACTTGCGCCGCAGGAACTTGCACGCCCCACACGGCGACCCCGGGGAGCCGCCGCCGCCGCTGGTGCCCGAGGAAGCCATGGCCGCCGTCGTCTCCGGCCGGGCGTCAACGCCTGATGCTGTGGTCGCTCGCTCCCTCACGTCTCTCCTCCTACCCACAACTACTACAACTACTACTTGCAGAACGAAGCTCAGCTAGCTAGCTCCTGCAAGTTGCGAGCCGCACGAGGGGGAGGCTAAGCTCGAGCTCGGGTTTTATAGAGGAGAAACACGACAAGGCCTGCAAGGTCGCCGGGGGACAAGGCCAGAGGGAAACGCGCACGATGTAGAGGAGAGCAAGTGACCTGTGAGCGCCCATTCCAGGAACACACCAATACTTGTATATATAAAAAAATTGTTTCAGGGAAGACGAAACGCATCGTCTTGCGTATCAACCTCTCCAACATCGCTGATTCACACAAGTTATGGCCAGACCAGGCCCATGCATTTCACGAAGAGGCTAGCTAGGATGGGCGTGCTCGCAATTCATGCGAATGAAACTAGTAGTAGGTCGCACATGAACTAGCTACGACTAGTAGCACAACCGACACAGCTAGCAGTGACACTGACATGTTGGCCTCAAAACTTCACGTCGATCGGCTGTCAGCGTCAAACCGCCAAATGTCAATGCCCCAAAACTTGTCATCTAGCTAGCCCACGCAGCTTCTGAGTTCAGACTTTGCATTTTAGTCGACTCACATATTTGGATCTCTCATGTAGTATGTGATTTTGTCAAGGGACTAGGGCAAAATTAAATTTGCAACAAGATAGATGTACGCGGCTGAGAGTAGCTAGGAGGCTTTTTTTTTATGAGTAAAAAGTGTTCTTGAACTGGAGTACGTGTGATGTGTTAGTTCGCCGTCCGGGCAAAGTACGTGGCGCCGTTCCGGCGGCGGCCGGCCCTGTGCAGCAGTGTGCTGGCCGGCGACGCTTTTGTCCGCCGAATGCCGCCGGCTTTTGAAAACGAGCTGAGTGCAGCCTCCTCTCCCTCTCGTAGGAGTACGTGGTTTCTGCTGCCTTTTCCCTTTCCTGCCTTCTGTTCCCCGTGTCCTCGCATCGCTGCTGCACCTTTCGTTCGTTTGGTACACCGATGCTTTGTTCGTTGCGCAAAATTCCGGGGTCTACGCGTGCTTACCTGTACGTCACGTCGCACGGTCGACCCATCCGGACACGAGCTATCAATTATGCATCGGCTAGCTAGGTGATCGAAGAGAACAAATTGTAAGATGCATGGTACAGTTTGGTTGGCAGTATGGCACATTGGTACTTGTTCACTTTTATTTGCATTGACAAAATCAACATTGCATGTATGGATGACTGGGTCTTGCATGGTTAATAATCTATATCCATCTCTAAGTTTTTGTTGCAGGCTTGCAGCTTTATTAGCATAAAACCTAGGTCTAGGAATTTGCATAAATATTATAACGAATGATAATTCGGAATTTGGAGACTACAATACAAATTACAATTGTCTAGTTTGATAGATCGAGCTTTAGCTTCAGACTAAGAAATTTGGGTATTGCTATCTCTAGAACTATGTGAAGCACAATAAGACTAAGTTATTTGGTTCCGAAAAATACTTTGGGTACACATAGATAGCTCTGGTTGTTGCGGTCTCACATCTTTAACATCTATTTTCTTCGTCCCAAAATAAATACATATTTCGTTTTTCAATGAGTCAAACTCAATGCTACTAGAGCTCTACATGCATGGCTCCAAACGGATTTGTTTGAGCTCATCAACTCCAGACCGGAGGCATTGCATGATGATGACTCATGATTAAGGACACTAGATTGTCCTTAATTATTCTTAACAATTAATTAGTAATCGAGTTGTTGCAATGCTCATCTCAAAGTGCGCCAGCTCTGCAGACACAGCTACCCCCTCCGGCATAAACAAAGCCCATGCAGCCGAATAGAAATAGTTGCGCACGTAACCTTACTAGTATAGTTTATCGTGCAATGATGCGGGTGTCCTCCGTGCAACTTTAATTAATTTTCCATCAGGGCATGAATGATTACGATAATGTGCGCGCCAATGCTGCTTGTCTGCTTCTCATCTCCTAATTCTTTTCTCCATGTTGTGCGTGCAAGCTCGCGCCAGTGATGTACTTGCATTATTATTTTGCAAAGCTAGTGCGTACGTGTACATGATATGTCCGCCACGACATGAGCAGGGACGAGGGCTAGTGATCAAGTGTCTAGGAGATTAGTTAAACAAGTTGGGGAAGGGTTGAAGAATGGTCTATGGTGTAGGTTTGGGGTTAGGAACTAAAGAGAACAGAAATTGAGATCGATCTTCTAATATAAATATCAGTATTTTAAATGTTGGATGGTTTCTTAAGAACTAAGAATATTTGTTTTAAAAAAGTCTTAACTAAGCTAATTTATTCTCTAGAACTATGAAGTACGAAGTGTCTCGGCTGGTCGATGATTTTCATTTGCCCTCCATAGTCTACATGTTCGTGTCGTGTGCGATTTTTGTGCATGTGCATATAGACCGCTCCGTGGCTCCGCGCATGCTACTCACCTCCCCTAGCCCACCTCCACAAACTCTCTACACATGAGCCGCCATCTGCCCTTTTCTCAATATCATCCTCATTGTCTATGCCCAAGCCAATGAATCGCCTGCCACCCAGGCGCACACCCACGCGTCGCCATTTGCCCTCTTCTCGATCTCATCCTCCTCGTCTGTGCCCAAGTCAATGGATCACCCTCCTTGATCATCTCTCATTACCGAGTGAAACCATCTCCGCGCACACACTGCCTAGGCACTCACCTGAATTGGATTGAAGCCCATCATCGTCGGGTAGATGGGCAAGCGGTAAAATCACCATCCTGTGCACTGTGGTCGGTTCTCCAGCGCAACATGACCCACATGACCCTAAATTGGGATTGAGGATTGTCGTCATGGGGCCGGGGTGCCCAACCACGGAATCAAGCTAGATGGTTGGCACCACTGCATGGCTCGACGAGCCCATCTTGTACTTATAGATGCCAAACGGGCGGCCCCATTAGACAAAAAAAGCACGGCTGAAAGCCTTAGTTTGGTTTTGGTAATTGAGTGACAACTAGTGGACTAATGCTTTCAATGGAGATGATTAAGCTTGGTCCACTTGACGGAGTTGAGAAATGCGAGGAGACGTGAAGATGATGATCATGACCATATGAAGCAAGTGCTCACCCATGGAGAGAGAGAGAGATGGAGATGCAAGCCCGAAGGCAAAGGTATATAAAAAATAGGGCTTTGTTTTTCCCGGCTGAGATGCAATAGAGTGCATTGTCGGGTTTAGGATAGATAGTCGTACTATCAAGAGGGTAACTCTAATGCAATTACGGTTGTCTAGTAACACTAAGTGTTGTCTACTTGTGCATATGCATTAAACCTAGTGACATGGTGAAGATCAAGTGAAAATGTTTTGGTACATGTCTTTGAAAAGCTAACTCGGCGCTTAAGTGCCAGTGTTCAAGTTGGAACACATTTGAAGTTAGCAAAATTGAAAAGCATGTAAGAGAACGGCTTAGTGCAGGGTTTCTGCACTCACAATATTTCTATTAGGTTTGTCCTCCTGATCCTTGTTTGTAACATAGCAAGAGGTTTCTTTTGCTCTTACTTAATTTCATTGCTGATTATGTGTGGTCGACAGATCCTTGGTTTTGTACCTTGTTGAATTAGACCATGAGTGCACTCGTGACCCTGCCCGGTAGACAGGGCATTTATTATTTTTCGTTTTATTTATTACATATACAATGTATAAATCTTTGTTGCTTTTTATCAGCCTTGCGTCTTTGGTTTTTTTTTTTTACAACAGCCTTGCATCTTTGGTTGTTTCTTTCAGGCAAATCACAGTGACGAACGACAGTCCTAGACAACGCGAGCTAAGGGCCGAGCAAACTGAACCAAAACCACGTTGGGCATAGGCCTGTTTATGTTTTTTTTAAAAAAAACTTATAGGCCTGTTTATTAGAACAGCTTATTATTGGACGAAGAGCTTGTCTTAAAAGCTGAGCTAAGCCCGTGGAGTGGGCCAAACGTGTGTTTCGGCCTTCTTCTAAACGAACTTGGGTTTCTTCTAAACGTGTGTTTCTCCCTCTGGCTCCTCGGTCCGTCCACCTCCGATCCGTCTCCACTGTCTCCACTGCCAGAGCCGAGAGCGTCGTCTACGGAACGGACCTCACATGAGTCCCATCCAGCGGCGGATCCAGATTCAAATCCTATGGAGCCAAGCTTATTAATTTTAAATCAATTAGTATAAATTTTGACAAATTATATGAAGGGTTAAACATGTTTGGACAAAACCTGTGGGGCCATATGCCCCCCACAGGTAATGCCTAGATTCATCACTAGTCCCATCATCCTTGACCAACAAACACAAGTAGCTTCTTTCTTCATGGAGATCATCATCATCATGTCCTGGAGCATCTGGAAAGTGAAAAATAACCCCATCTTCACAGGAGAGGAGGGTAATACCCAGAAATACAAAAGTGTCTTCAAAAATGCCTTTGGCCAGTTATTCTACAGACGAAGAAAAAATATCTCCCTGCAATTAGTTTATGGCTAGAGCAACTTCTGTAATTGAGCTCATCTTTTTTGTTTCTTGAACTACTTGGCTGGACTCCGTCCTTAGCCCTTTCTTGTATTGTGTTTCTTTCTTTCTTTCTTTCTTTCTTTCTTTTTAATAAATTTCTGAGGGGCGATCCTGTTCCCTCAAAAAACAAACACAAGTAGCTCTTGAACAAATAACCCGTGTCATGAACATCTGACAACCAAACAATGAAACTAAACAGCAAGCTTCACGATTGCAGCACGAATGCACTTGGATATGCACCTTAATTAAGCAACACACACACATATAGCTCCTGACAACGACTTGATCCTAAGCATCTAGAGAACACAGCTAATCAACAACTAGGAACTAACGGCAAGCTTCATGACTAGCCCATTTAGCTTTTAGCTTAACTGGATGGGCCGACCGCTATGTACTGCATTGACGGGCGGACGTGCCACGCGAGCATGTGGGCGACCAGCAGGTGGCACACTGT